TACTTTTCTCATTGTTTAAGAAAGCTGCAACAGACAAAGCCAATTATAAACAATTTTCAAGCACACTTGGAACTTTTAAAAACCTCACTGTATTATGTACAAAGCCACTTCCAACAAATGTCACATGAGTCACGTTTATTTCTCCATTTTTCCTTAATCTAGAAAGCAGTCACAAGGTACCCAGACAGCCCTTACATTTAAACATTTTCAAATGCACTTGGAAATACCACTGCCATCAAAACTCACTGATTCTCCACTGGAATCAACCACTTTTCCTGCTGACCTGCATTAAGATGTCATTCCTCAATATGACCACAAGGAGACAGCAGAGATGCACACTCAGAACACAGACTGTGCTATGGGCCTGGCCACCAGGTTCGTTCGGTTTTTACTGTGAGATGCAATGGCGGGCACATTTTTCATTTTCCCCAACAACGTGACAAGACAGTATATTCACCGCTTTATTCCACTGCCCTCTGCCATCTTTCAGGCTACTTCCCCATTCCATCTTCCCACCACATTTTATACTTCGGAGCAGAGAAATCTCCCAGGTACCATTCCACAGAATGGAAATTTTTCTCAATTAAGAAAATTTTGGAAAGGCTGAAATAAATGGAAATCCAAAGGTGCAGGGTGGGTGAGTGCTGTGGATGAATCAGAACAGCCAGGCTGCAACCGTTTTCTCCTGGTCACCACAGAGAAACATGTGTCCTCGCCTTATCCTGCCTGAAGATCACGTGTCTCCTGCTGACATATTCAGGATCTTTCTCTCAGGTGGTGCTTTCCATTGGTCTGAGGCAGAGCAGTACTTGCTGGAAGGAACCGCCTGGTTCCTGGTGAGGAGCTCCCACGACAGGACTCCCTAATGACCCCACTGTAGACACAGCACCACCTCCTGTGGATGCAGACCGCCCTTTGGAGTGGATGGGGGTGGTTCCCTCCATGTGCCCCCAATCTCTCCTGTTCCACACTAGTGTCAACCATCAACACTTCATTCTTCCTCCCCAGTTGGTCTTGGAATTGGTTTTCCTTACGTTTCAGTAGAAAATGGCACTTGGAAATCTGTTCAAGAAGGTTTCCCCCTCCTCCCTGCTTAACTTCTGTGGAACCCAAACATCAAAGCACTTAACGTAACCATGCTAGAGCAAAGGATTCTCAGTGCTATTGATGACATTACTCTGAGTATGTCACCTGCTACCACCTGCCACGATGTGGTCTGTCCTCAGTTAACGTCTGGACTGGATGGCTCTCCACAGCAACTGGTCTATGGGACCCAGGGGGCAACTGCACAGGAGAAGTCGGCAGCATGAAACTTCACAATCCCGCTTCTGACACGTTCGGTCAGTCACAGCACCTTCTCCATACACACCACAAACCTTTTTTTGAATTTCAGTTGTGTTTTCATCTTTCTTGAAATGACAATGCCTAATGTGCCAATAATGTTGCTATGTTCATCCATCTTCAATATGAAAATGGCCACACGAATATTCAGGAGTTCTGGTCAGATTTTTTAATGCGTGCTGAGATGACAGCTGTCACAATAAAGTCAAAAAAAGTTTCAAAGGTAGTTAAAAACAAATTGTGCTACCAACCGCACCCCAACCCCTAACGTTAACTCCTAACTGTGCCACACACCCGACACCTGACCAGGTGTCCGAAGCCTGTCCCTGAGTCCAGTTGCCTGACTCTGGACATCATAGCACAGAGAACAGCGTGTCCTCCTATTTAAACCTGTAAACCTTTGCAACCTAAACATCTAATGTCTAAAAACATAAAGCAGGTTTCTCTTAAAAGATATTATATTAAATCAAACAAAGTAAATGTTGCAATGATGACGCACATTAGACATGAGATGGAGGAGGCTGCTGCTGGCATACAAGGCTTTCTCTTCCAAAGCAAAATAGATGAACGTAAATGAGTAAATGTGGTGTCCTCCTGATCAAAAAGTTCTGGATAGCAGGATAAGCTATTCACAAAGTGAGAAGACCGCACACAGAATTGAAAATGGTTGCACATTATACTTTTAATAAGACTCTTTTGGGGGGAGGGAATGGGAGGGAGGTGGAGAGAAGGGGCGGGGGGGCTGGGGTGGGAGAAATAGACAAAAAACTGTACTTGAAAAATAACTAAATAAAATTTTTTAAAAACTCTTTTTTCCACAACAAAGAACTTTACAACTCAACAATGAGGAGACACCTATATTATTTTAAACATTTTATTTATTTACTTTTAGGAAGGAGAAAAAGAGGGAAACATCAATGTTTGGCTGCCTCTCATGTGCCCCCTACTGGGGACTTGCCTTGAAACCTAAGCATATGCCCTGACTGGGCATCGAACCAGTGACTCTTTGGTTCACAGGCCAGTGCTCAATCCACTGAGCCATACCACCCCAAGGCAGACATCTATATTTGTAAAAAACTTCAATAGTCCCTTCCAAAGAGGAGACATTCATACTAGTGCTAAAAAAAAGAAAAACAGCCCTGGCTGGCTTAGCTCAGTGGATTGAGCATGGGCCTGCGAACCAGAGTATCACAGTTCGGTTCCCAGTCAGGGCACATGCCTGGGTTGCAGGCCAGTTCCCAGCAGGGGACTCACGAGAGGCAACCACACATTGATGTTTCTCTCCCACTCTTTCTCCTTCCCTTCCCCTCTCTATAAAAATAAATAAATAAAATTAAAAAAAAAAAAAGAAAAGAAAAACACCGGAGAATATGTTCAATTGGTAAATCATGGTGCGATAGGTACCTCTTCCCAGACACTCCAGAAGCTATAATGAGAAGGCAAAACTGAGACATGTTTATGATCACAGACAAATATTAGAACGATTGACCATTTCTTTTGTGAATGTAAAATATTGCAGATCTTGTATAAAATGGTTTGGCATTTCCTTTAAAAAAATTACCCTACTGTGTTCAATAACTCTACTTCAAAATATATATCTGAGGAATTAAAAACAGATGTTATAACACACTTATACATGATTATTTATAGCAGCACTGTTAACAACAACTGAAAGGTAGAAAGTATTCAAATGCCCATCCACAGGTAACTGAATAAACAAAATTTGGTTGTTCTGTCATTGAAAAGGTACTGGACCCAAGGCAGGCTTGCCCTGGCAAGGTCTCATGTGTGTAGATTCTTGACTTCATGTAGTAAAAATGTCACAACACAAAGCTAGGGAATTTTGAGAGTTTGTATATTACATGTCAGGACAGTGACACAAAGAAAGGGCTTCAGATAGAAGAGGTGACATCACAGCACACGAGTGAGCACAGGCGGAGCTCCTTCTTGGGAAGCGAAAGAGTCAGACACAAAGAGGGTCCTTGGAGACAGGATCAGGGGTGAGCCCGGGACGAGCTGCCGCTGCCCGCTGCTCCCCTGCCTGCAGGTCTCCTGGGACCTTCGGAGATAAGGAGAAGCAAAGCAAGGACACGGGGCTAAGGGAAGAGGAGAAGGGAAGGCGCATGTCCACTCCACTAACACTGCATGCTGGGTTCTTTGTCTTAAGGGGTTTTTCTAAGGTTGAGGACTTTAGAGGAGGTCTTGGAAGAATATTCCAGTAGAACTCAGCTTTCCAGGTGGGGCCTTTGATGTGCTCATGCAAAAAAGTGAGCATACAGGGTGATCAGGGTCCTGCTCTGGTGACTTTCTCCTTCAGAAAAGTCACCAGAGAAGGGCTGGGACTGAGGTGGGTCTTCCCCTGCATGGTCTGGAATGTGTGAACCATTTGCTTTCAAATGCCCTTGGTCAGGGAAGATAAGATCCTCAGATTTATTATGGGCTGTAATTCATTGTTGTTACTTTGCTATCAAACCCACTTTTCCCATTCCACTACCATAGCTTTTTTTTACCAACCTGCCTCAACTCCATACACTTGGGGACTCATATTGGTGGTGAATTTAACACAATGACCATTTGTTGACAGACACAAGATGCCAGAGCCAAACTCAGCATCCTGGACACAGACCTTTGACTCAAAAACCTGGACCCCAGGCCCAAATCTCCAAACCCAAAGCCATGTGCCCTCACCGGAGAGAGTCCAAAAAGTCCAAAGGCCAAACACCAGATGCCAGGGATTAGCATCAGACATTTCTAATGCCAGATTCTATACACCAAAGCCTAAATGTTCATCTGCACATGAACCTCGCATGTGAACCCAGGACACAAAGCCACATCCTAAGAGGTACAAGACTGCAGACACACAACTGAATACATTTTGACTGTGAAGTACAGGCCCTGGACACAGAACACAGACTTCTAACCAGGATGCTGATCTGTAACCAGGATGCCATGGCCAGAATTTGGAGTTGGAGCCAGACACTGGGCGCCTGTTGACAGAGGCCAGAGGCAAAAGGTGAACTGGATCCTCCCATTGTAAACAACCCTGTGATCCAATGGGATAAAACCCTTGTCTCTCCAAACGCAAACTTAAGAATCTTGCCAAACCCAGCAGGAATAGGCCGAAACACCAAGTGAACAAAAAGGATGCTGACCTTGGAGGGCAGACGTCCACGGTCTCTCAGCTGCAACAGCTTCGGGAGTTGTCACCGTGTCACCACCATCCTGCACCACCAGCTTTTCAAACTGTGGGGGATCAAAGAGGGATTATCTTCCACAAACTTTGTTGGATCTGACATTTGTGGGATAATAATTAAAATAACATAATCGGATGAATACAAGATATTCAACATTTAATACATGCATCGGTACAACTGAATACCAGACAATGAAGTGATATCAGGTATACAGGACCTTTGGGAGTCTGGGAAACAGGGTCTTAGAGTGATAAAATGGATGATAGGCAAGAAATTTATGAAAAGTGCAGCATTCGTGGAATGTTACTTTAGGTTACTTCGCTTAAACTGTTAAACCTTGTGGCAACAGCAGCAGACACAGCCTGAGGGAGCGACCAGCTGCCAGGAGGGCCTTGCATCACCCACAGGGGTCAAAGGACTGAGCGTCCCTGTCCAGTTCAGTGAACCATCCACCTCTGCCTGCAGCCAGCGGAGGGTAGCGGGACCCACAAACACAAGGCAGGTGACCGTGAAGACACAACCGGGAGGCGAGTCACGGCCACACAGGTGGGACAATGACGCAGTCAGGACCTTAATGCCACCGGTACACCAGGCCCACCGCCACCCCCATCACAACCTTCTCTTGGACGGTGGCCTCGTCAGCCCAGCATGCTGCTCGGTTTTCTGTTTTTAACTTTTATTCTATTGGAGTGTAACACATACAAGCTCCTGGATACATGGGACGGCTGGGGACCAACCGCAGGGGGTGTCGTGGGAACCACTGCAGGGTCACGCGAACAGAGGCACAGCCCTGGCCTGTCTGTGCGCGGGCCTGGGGCGCGTCAGGTCCCTGGTCGGGGCTTGTGGGAGAGGCAGCCGCCCCAGGCTTCTCCCACACATCTCCCTCTCTGTCCCTTCCCCTCTCTATAAATAGATGGATAGATAAAATCTTTTAAAAAGAGAAAAAAAAATAAAAAGAGGGACTTCCGCCAAGATGGAGGCATAGGTGGAGACGTTGTGCTTCCTCACACAACCAAGTTTAGAGACAACTAAATAATAGCAACAGAAAACACAGCTAGAACACAGAAAATTGAACTATTCGGAAGTCTGATAAGAATGAATTCTTCAGCCTGACCGGTAAGAGGGGCGAAACCAGCAGCTGGCGGAGCGGGGTTGCACAGGAAAACTCGGTCAGACGGACGCAGGCTCGGGGATCCCAGGCGTGGGGTTGCAAAGGGCGGGTCCAGTGAGCGCCACCCAGTGAGCAACCGGCAGATCCGGCCAGCGCGCAGGGCGGCGGCTTGACTGTGCTGGCACATTCCTGCGCAGATAGACCGGCGAGGGAGTGGGCAGTGAGACGGACCTAGCAGGTCCCAGCGACGGGAGGCAGCAGAGAGGGCCGCCATTTCCCGGCTCTGACCCCGCCCACACACACAGCGTCACAACCCAGCGACCCGCCCTGGAGGCCCCGCCCCACCCCTAAGGCTCCACTCCTCATACTTAATGGGTACGAACAAGATCTCAAAGCCCCAGAGCCCATAACTCTAAGCAATGAAGAAATAGCCAAACTTTCAGATGCACAGTTCAAAACGCTGGTGATCAGGATGCTCACAGAACTGGTTGATTTTAGTCACAAATTAGAGGAACATATGAAGGCTAAACTAATTGAAATGAAGGGAATTGCACAGGAAGCCAATAGTGATGAAAAGGAAACTGGGACTCAAATCAAGGGAGTGAACCAGAAGGAAGGAAAAATGACCAAACAGGAAAATATGAAGAAACAAAATTCAAAAAAATGAGGAGAGTCTTAGGAACCTCCAGGACATCTTTAAACGCTCCAGCATCTGAATTATAGGGGTATCAGAAGGGGGAAAGGAATAGCCACAAGTGGAACACTTATTTGAACAAATAATAAAGGAGAATTTCCCCAATCTGACAAAGGCAATAGACTTCCAGGAAATCCAGGAAGCTCAGAGAGTCCCAAAGAAGTTGGACCCAAGAAGGAACACACCAAGGCACATCATCATTACATTAGCCAAGATTAAAATGAAGGAGAGACTCCTAGAAGCAGCAAGAGCTAAGGGGACAGTCACCTACAAAGGAGTTCCCATCAGACTGTCAGCTGATTTCTCAAAAGAGACCTTACAGGCAAGAAGGGGCTGGAAAGAGGTATTCCAAGTCATGAAATCCAAAGACCTACGACCAAGATTGATCTATCCAGCAAAGTTTTCATTTAGAATGGAAGGACAGATAAAATGCTTCTCAGATAAGGTCAAATTGAAGGAGTTCATCATCACCAAGCCCTTATTATATGAAATGTTAAAGGGACTTATCTAAGAAAAAGAAGATAAAAAAGATGAACAGTGAAAGGACAGCAAATTCAGTTATTAACAACCACACCTAAAACAAAAGCAAACTAAGAGGACAGCTAGATCAGGAGCAGAACCACAGAAATGAAGATCACATGGAGGGTTAGCAACAGGGGAATGGGAGGAGGAGAAGGGAGGAGAAGGTACAGAAAATAAGTAGCATAGATGGTAGGTAGAAAATAGGGGGGAGGGCAAGAGTAGTGTGGGAAATGGAGAAGCTAAAGAACTTGTGACACATGGACATGAACTAAAGGTGGGGATGGTGGGGGAGGGGTGTGCAGGGTGGAGGGAAATGAAGGACAGGGAAATGGGACAACTGTAATGGCATAATCAATAAAATGTATATATTTTTAAATATTTATTTTTAGAGAGAGGAGAAGGGAAGGAGAAAGAGAGGGAGAGAAACATCAATGTGTGGTTGCACTCCATTCTGGGGACCTGGCCTGCAACCCAGACATGTGCCCTGACTGGGAATCGAACCAGCAATGCTTTGGTTGTCAGGCCCACGCTCAGTAAAATATATTAAAAAAAATAAAAACTAAAAACTACACATTTTTTTAAAAAGAGGAAGAACACAGAGGGAGTGCTGGGCCCTTGTGGGGAGGTCTCAGCTAGGAGTGAGCAGTGCTTTGCCCGGTACCCTGACAGCCCTGCTGGATGGAGAGGCGCAGCGGGGACCCTGAAGGGAGGGGAGAAGGCTCTGCGCACACCTGCTGCTGGGGGCTGTCGGGCCAGACGTGCCCGGCGGAAGCAGACCACTTCATGGGTGTCGGAATGTGTCCGGCACGAGCCATCTTGTCTTCCTCCTCCAAGAAGTCCTTCTCCCTGCAGGACCGAGGCCTCCTCACCCATGGACGATCCTGTCGTGGCCGCCCCCAAGCAGGCCCTGCGCCTCATGACGCTGAAGACGGAGAGGGTGGTGAGGGTGCCTGGCTCTCGGAGGGGCAGCTGTGGCCCTGTGCCCGCCCTCACCACCTGTCTGGGGCCAAAGGGAAGGTGGGTGAAGGAGCGCCTGAGATCTGGGGGGAGTCTGGCCCTGGATAGTATTGGCCAAGGACAAGGGGAAGCAGGCGAGCCCTCTCCTTCTCCATGAGGCCCCAGATTCGTGACCTGGGTGGGGCAGCCTCTCCCAAGGGTCTGTCACTGCCACTGGGTCAGAACTGTCCTGGTGGGAGCGGGAGGCACAGCACTTAGAGATGAACCCTCCGACCTGGACGGACGATGCTGTTGAGCCTGTGGCCTTTGCTGTGGAGGGTGTGGCTCTGACACTGACCTGGGCACCCAGGCTGCTGGGCGGGGCCCCGAGACTGGAGCCCCTGTGGATGGTCAGCAGCCCCTGAGGGGCAGCCTCACTGCGAGAACCCCTCCGGGGCAGACGCAGCCCCGCCCACACGTGCCAGGGCCCTGCGTCCTTGCCGAGGCGGTGGTCGCCCTGGAAGGGGGCGTGCCGGCACACCTTGCACGGCCTGCATGGTGCTGGGGCCTCTCGCCCTGGGCCCCCAGGTAGGGTCTGGGGGCTTCTGGAAGAAGCACAGGTCACAGGTTTCACAGTGGTCCCCAAAGCAGACCTCAGGCAGCAGGAGAGTGGATGCTCTGCTGGCAGCACTTCCGCAGGACGAACCGGGCAACTTGCTGAGGAAGAGCCCTGGGGTCAGCAGGCTCGCCTGGAGGTGTCCCAGGTGTCTGGCAGGCCCAGCTGGCACCTTCGTCAGCCCCAGGCAGCTGTCCACGTCCCACTGCCTGTGGAACGGAATGTGCATGTGGGCAGAGACCAACCCCACCAGCAGCGGGCGCACTGGGGCCCCGGAGGAGAGGGCAGAGCGTGGAGCGGAGGGCAACGTGCCCCCCACCCGAACCACGCTCCTTGTCCTGTCAGGCGCAGAGTCGGACTGGCTCGAGCTCCGTGACTCGACCCCCCATCTGTATAGGGACCAGACGCAGGTGCTCACAGTCTGAGGAGCAGACACCTCTTCATTAGATGGGCACCATGACTGGGCGGGGGGCTGGCCTGGCCCGACACACGCAGGGTCACCCTGCTGCTTTCTGTCACCTTGTTACTGGGGGCTTCCTTGCCCTGAAGAAATGTCACCGAAAGCCAAAGATAGCTCTGTGGGTCCCAGTGAGGGCAGGAAAAGCATCTGCCCGGTCTTGTCAGGAATCCCAGGGGGAGAACCAGGTGAGGAAGAAATGAAGTTGGGGGCGGGGCTGGGTGACGGGCACAGTGCGGGAGACAGAAAAGTGGGGTGAGCAGGGAAGGGGGTTCCGATGACCGGGGACGCCCTGCGCCCACGAGACGTTGTCTTGAAGCATGGAATGGGGGCCCCACCCCCACTCCCGGGCATGAAAGAGCAGGGCAGCTGCTCAGCTCCCTGGACGCTGAAGGTGCTGGTGTCCCGGGGCAGGTGGGAGGGCCCTGGGTCCCAGGAGCACGGCCCCTGTGAGGCACGTGCACGCAGGCGTGGGAACCACTGGCGTCTGAGGTCCCCCTGCATGTTTCTGAGGAAGGCCTCTTGGGGCAACGGTGGAATTGTCCCCGCAGTGGCATCACTCTGTGTCACAAGTGGCCGGGGACACCTGCAGGGAGAGTGACCCAAGGAGCCAAACATCCATCACTATTTAAATTTAATGAATGAGCACCTCACAGGCTGCACGTGGCCGCGACCTCAGTGTTGGAGAGTCGGTCTGTCTGTGACTGTCCCGCCCCCGGTGTCTCTGCAGAACAGAAAACCCGCTCAGCAGCGCCCTCGCCTGCCGGCAGCAGTTCCTCACGACGGCTGTGGGAATGGCATGTGTTTAAATCTGCATCTCCAACCCGGGAAAACCAGCGATCCCCAGCTTGCTTGGCCCGCAGCCCGTTACAGACCCCTCCCAGGCCGCCATGAGGCCTGCAAGGGCTCCCTGGGTGGGTCCCTGTCAGGTCTGGTGGCTGTTGTCATGACGATGAAGATGGCGGTTCCCACTGGCCTCCCACTGAGCTCCTCCCAGGAGGGAAACAGCTCCCCTCTTCTGGTCCTTCATGGCCCATCCCCTGCTCCAGTCAGCACTGCCATGGAAACCAGGAGATGCTGCAGTGAGCGGGCAGAGCCCTCCTTGCCCAGGCAGCTGCAAAGCGTCCCGCCGGCCCGCCCCTCCCCCACAGGCCCAAGTGGGCTCCAGGGCTCCTGCCAGGCAGGGCGTGGCCTTGCTGTGGAGAAGGACCACCAGACAGGCGTTGCCCCCACCCCTTCCCAGGAGGGGGCAGAAGCACCTGGCGGAGGGAGAACGACCCACCTGTTGGGGGACAGGACCCGGCCAGACACAGGCCCCTGTGCTCAGGTCTCAGGGGTCAGAACACACCCAGCCTGGCCTTGGGACTCAGGGCCACCCTCGCACCAGTGACCAGGCAGCCTTCAGCCCCTTCCTTCCCCGGAGGCCCCTCCACCTCGAAAGCACCCTCAGCCGCTACTGGAAACGGCCACTATCCAGGGGCCCGGAGACCAGGTTCTCTCCCAGGACCAGCTCCCGTCTGTCCTGGGTCCTCCGGCTTCCTCTTGGCCAGCAGCCTGGCTAAGGGGCCAGCCCAGGAACCCACCCTGTCCGTGCCGGTGCCGCTCCGAAGTGTGGACCGAGGGCTGCCCGCTCCAGCCCCTCCTGGCCACCCACCTGCTGCCTAGGGGGTGGTCCAGTCTCTAAGGCAACCGGCCAGGCCCAGACACAGGTTTTTTCTTCTTGTCCTTTTGAATACGTTTCATTGCGCAAGCAACACATTTTCATTTCTAGGAAAAATTAGAAACAAATAAATAAAAAGGGGAAACCACCCAAAACAATGAAATTCCCCATCGCCGCCCCCAGCCCCCCACCCCCCATGCCGATCCATTCACAGCCCCTGCTCATGTGCATGAAAGCTTTCATCTCCGGTCTCCTCCGGTCGCCCTGTGCCTGGTGTTTGGCTCGCCCCGTCACGGACGGTCCCGTGCTCACTCCTGGAATAAACCCCTGTCGTTTCCCAGGCGGCTGTGCACAGCCTGACCCGCCTCGGTCTCTTCACACCCACAGACGAAGCTGCAGCAAGGAGGTTGATTGAACGAACGTGTATCCCTGCAAATATTTCCAAACTTTCTACTGCGTATAAATGTACATTTACGTAAAAACGCCTGCAGCATAAACACATAGCTTCACCCCTGTTTAAAAGGCCTGAGGCCGGCACCTCGGAGAAGCCAGGCCCCTGCAGCCCTGCTCCTGCGTTGAGGGCGGCCCGGAGCCCACCCCCGCAGTGCCGGGACCAAGACCCAACCAGGCTGCTGCTCTGGGCTTCCTGTGCCGTGGGTCTGGCCTCTCCCGACTCTTCCAGTTCTGTCTGAGCTTCAGGAGCTTCAGGTGGCGGTGTTTTGTCAGGGTGACGAGGGAAAAGGGGGCAAGGAAAGAAAGGGCCGTGGTTGAGCAGAGAGGGGAAGGGGCCGGAGGACTCAAATGAGAACCAAAGGAAGGTCACCTTTGGGGAAAAATGGCTGAGGAAGCGTCCTCAGGACAAGGGCCACATGGGGGCAGGGCTGTCACATGCCTGTGAAGCCCCCATGTCACTGGAGGGGATACCAGTGCAGCCTTTCTGCTGGGCAGCAGGCTGCTGACAAGAAGTCACATGGGATGAAAGCCACAAAACTCCCGCTCGGCTTTGGCAAGATGACCAGGTCGGACCACAGGACGCTGGGGACCCCCTGCCAGCTCAGCAAGGCCTCGTCCCAGCACCCACGGGTACAGTGGCCAGAGGCGGGGGCAGAGCACCCTCCCAGGGGTTCCTCAGACTGTGCCCAACAGCCCCTGGGCCAAACCAGGGGGCAACCCCCCAAATAGGGCCCCCCTCTCCCAGCCAGTGGAAGCTCTCACTTCCACTGGGTGCCCTTCGTGCCCGCAGGCAGGTGTGTTGGGTCCTCAGTTTAGGGGCTCGGCGCCTGCGGGGCAAGAGTGTCCAGATTCTAAAACCACAGCCCCCACCCACCCCCTCTGACAGGTGACAGGCGCACACAGGGCCCCTCTGCGCCCTCCCTACAGCTGGGTGGCCCTGAGACGGTGGCCCCTCGTCCGGCTCCTCCAGTCACCGGTCTGAGCCGGCCGCCCTGGGGCCGACACACCTCCCATGCCCCCAACCCCGTGCGCTGCCTGTCGTGGACTCTTGTCCACCCGTGAGTCCAGGGCCTCACCGGTTTCTAGTTTTTCATGGCTGGCTCCAGAATTCCGACACACAGACACGCATCCCCGTCGCCTGGAAGGAACCAAGGCCCCGGAAGGACAGAGTCCTCCCAGGCAGGTGTCTCTGTGGTTCCGTCCCTCACCTGCACTGTCGGCAACCGCGTCTCGTTCACCACCAGTCCTCGTCTTTGTCCAATCTGCAGCCAATTCAGTCACGTGCAGTAATGTTTTCGCTGTGTTTTTTTATTTCTGGAACTTTCCTTTGACTCTTTCAACCCCGAGACTCTGCCTTGCAGCCCAGTGTGGCAGGAGAGGAGGCCGTGGGGCTGTGCTTCTGAACAGGTTCTGCAACACGAGACGAGGTAGCCAGGCGGAGCCCCCCACTCTCTGACAAGCGGCCCCTGAAGACCTCGTGACCTCCAGTTCACCTTGCAGGGCAGGCAGGGGCGAGGGAGTGGAAGGGTGAGACCCCGGGTCCTTGAGGGCAGCTGAGGTCACCATCTGCTTCCACGTGCGGACCTCTGGGTTTCTTGTTTAAGAGAAAATACACTTCTAGCTTCCCTGGGGGTTTTTGGAACATTTGTTTATTTGCTTTTAAAAAGAGGGGAAGGGAGGGAGAGAAGCATCAATGTGTGGTTGCCTCTTGCACATCCCCTACTGGGGACCTGGCCGGAAACCCAAGCGTGTGCCCTGACTGGGAATCAAGCCAGGGACCCTCTGCCTCACAGGCCAGCGCCGGTCCACTGAGCCGCACCAACCAGGGCCCCGCCGGTGTTTAAGGCGCTATTTTCTGGGGTTGGGGGGTATCCACTGGAGTGGCGCTGACACCCCAAGGCCGGGTCCCAAGCCTCTGGACGCATGTGCACATGCCTACACATGAATACATGCTTGCAACACCTACACGCTTACACAGGAACACATGCACACACGAACACACACATCTGGAAATTTAAACTGTGAATTCACCTTGAAACTACAAACAGCATTCTGGAAAGTTTGGAAATGAGGAGGGGGAGAAGCAGTGACGGACCACACTGGAGTGGCAAGCGTGGATGGCAATTCGGCGAAGCCCCGGGCGTGCCGCCTGTGGCCGTTTGAGCGTGAGTCCCGTGGTCCTGGGCAAGGTGACAGTTTCGTACCGCCACCCACACAGCCAGGTGGGAAGAGTCTGCTCCGGCAAAGGCCACAGAGAAGAACAGCCTCGCCCTCCACAGATGACTTGGCCACAGACCCGGCCACCACCTTGGGAACGGTGGCCAAGGAGCAAGCGCACCCACCTGGGAGCAGCCGCTGTGGAAGAAATGTGCGGTGGGTGGGGATGCACACCTGCAGAACACACGTGGTCAGGCCCACGTCTCCCACGACCGTGACGTCGCACACGGGAGGGAGGGTCAGGAAGGGGGGGCCTGCTGCTCCGGGGCCCCGAGGCCCCAGGCTGGTGCTGGTCTGCACAAGGCCGTTGGAGACAGTGTCTTGCCTGTCACAACAGCAGAAGCAACAGACTGAACTGCTCGTATGTGGGACACAACCCCCAGCCCACCCGCATCACCCCGAGACCTGAGCGTGCAGTGGCTCCTGCACCAGGCAGGGTCCCCGTGACCAAAGCTGGCACCTTCCAACCTCCATCTTTCCATGGGTGGTGAGCTGCTGACCCTACTCAGCTGTTCCGAATGAGCATTTCTTCCAAACGCCCATCGCTTGCTTCTGTCTGGGTGTCTCTCCATTACTCTCATTCCTGAGCTGCGTCACCTTCCTATTAACGGAGCACTCGCCACCCATGGAACCACCGCTCAGGTGGTTGCCAGAGCCACAGACGAGCTGCTGTCTCTCTGGATGGGAGGTACCGGAGGGTCACCATGTAGCAACGGTGATCCACTGAGATCTAAGGAAGCACAGTTTCCCTTTTACTCTGCAGAGGAAACTGCACCCTGGAAAGCCAGGCCCCAGAGCGTGTAGGAACCTCAAAACGGCGGCCACTCCAACAGCACACTGTCCGGCAAGACGCTCCTTCCCACTTTCCTTCTGGGAACATTTAAAATGTAAGTGTCAGCCCTGGCTGGTGTAGCTCAGTGGATTGAGTGCGGGCTTGCAAACCACACGATTGCAGTTCGATTCCCAGTCAAGGCACATGCCTGGGTTGCAGGCCACTTCCCAGCAGGGGACTCACGAGAGGCAACCACACATTGATGTTTCTCTCCCTCTCTCCTTCCCTTCCCCTCTAAAGATAAATTAAAAAAATCTTTAAAAAAATAAATAAATAAAATGTAAATGTTCCTGAGCGTGAGGTTTGTCATCCAAGAGAATAAAGAGGGCGTTGTGCCTTCTACTATTAAGAAAAGAAAAGGAGAAAAGTGAGGGCCTCCAGAGGCCCCCGTCGCCCAGCGAACGGCCGCTGGCTGTCTTCATTCTTGTGTGTAGTACTTGGTGGAAACACTTCATTTAATTTTTCGAAAATTTGGTTCTTGAATTGAGCAGACAAATTAGGCACCCTTTTCTAACTTCTGAGAAGTGCTACAAAAACAGGATAGAACAGAAAGTTTTTATTTGCAAACACTATTAACCATTTCCTGTTCCAACCTCAGAAGTAGCTGTGAATCTACTGGCCAGCGGCAGCGTCCCACCCGATGGGGACAGATAGGGAGGCCGGGTCCCTGACATCATTCTGCCTCCTCAGAAGCAGTTTCAGGATGATCCTCCTGCTTCCTGTGTTTCTCCGTGAATGGAAACTGCCTCCGGAGAGTGCGTGGCGGGGGGCGGGGGGTTCCTTCTCCCCCACTTTCCGTCTGTGCTGGCTCATGTTCCCCTCCCTGCCCGCTGCTGTGTGTGCCAGTCACCCGGTGCCTTGGAAGCTCCAGAGAGAAGGAAGGGAGGCCCCCGGGGAGCTCCTCCAGCCCCTGAGATCCCTGCCTGCGGAAGGCGGGGAGCCACCCTGTAGAGCCTCTGGCCTGCGTCCTTCACTTCCTTCCTTCCCTCCGGCAGTGGATGACAGCCACAGTTACCGGATACGGGGGGTGCGCCCCAAGTGCGGGCCCACGGCAGCGCCCAGGGCCACAGCAGACCACTCCCAGGATAACGGCCGGTGGCTGCACACCCCTGTGCCCCACAGCACAGTCCCCCAAATCACCAAAGCCGCACGGAGAAGACCAGGCAGCTGCCCAGCCACCCGGCGCTCTGCTGTCCTGAAAGGAGCCCACGGGGACACGTGCTCATGGATGAAGTCTTCGGGCCACGTGCCCATCCCAAGAGGCCACACACGAGTCATCCATATTTATGGGTCACAGACACAGAAAGCCACAGAGATGGAGGACAGCCGGCTGGCCCCAGGAGCACTGACCGGGGGGAGGGAGCAGGGTGGCAGCGGGCACAGCAGGGACCCTGAGGTGCGGGAGCGTGTGCGGGCTCACACTGCACAGCAGACACGCATGACAGTCGTGCCCCTAAAACGGGCACCGAGCTCCGTCCTGGGCCCTGCGCTGCCCCACCGGCG